CCCACAAAAAGCATCCTTCTGGTATTCTCTGCTTTTAGCAAAGGTCTAACATCAGCAATGGTATATCCCTCATCACACTTTCTTTTCTGAAACTGGCTTGAATTTCTGGCAGATTCCTATCCATGTATGACTGAAACAATTATCTTCAGCAAATGGTACTTGCTTATACACAGTTAGATAATAGCCATGGCAGTTAAAAGATGGCAGTGGTTTTATCCAAGATCTAGCAAGCTAAAATATCACAGTAGCTAAATGCTCATCTGCTAACCCAAGGTCGGAGGTGTAAATCACCCAGTAGCTCCATAGGAGAATGAAGTGGCAGCCCTAGAAACTCAATGGAACAGCTCTACTGTGTCCTATGGAGTGTTTAAGAAACAGACTTGACAACAGAAGTGAGTTACAGAATATCTACTAACAACTAGATTTTCCTTACTGCTCTTTATGTATTACAGTTTATATTTTGAAAGCATTACACTGAATATACTGAGAATGTTTTATTGGAGACTAAAGAGGACACCCGAGTGTCAATAAAGTAAATTCTCACATTTGGACCAATAAAGATTATCATGGTAAATGGAGAAAGACTGACTTTGTCAGAGGCTTCCTTTCAGTTGGATCCACAATCAATGTTCATATATGCAGCAGTCAGGAAATCACAGAAACCTTTATTACACAAAAATAAAGTGTGAAGCTGTTTCTCAACATATTTTTCATGTAGATCCATATACTTATGCAAGTGGTGTTTTCATCTAACCGAACCCTTCCACAAAGATTTCTGACATCTTTTATTTGCACTGCTTCAAAATAGCAGTTTTGGCATCCTTGTGGGTCTCAAATTGTGTTCTTTTCCATGTTCTTTTGAGTTTGAGGGAAAAAAGGGAGTTGAATATTGCATGTTCGGGACTGCAGAGTTAATGGGATAAAGTTTCACAATGAAATTCTTACAGTACGGTCCAGGTCTTGCTACCCTCAAAATGAACAAGTGCATTGCCATGATGTGAAAAATATTCTTTGGTGTAATTTTCCTGACATCTTTTCCACCAATGAAGTATTGTTCTTAAAAATCCCCATGATCATCCTGTGTCCTTGGAGAAATCTGTCAAGATTACCCCCTTGAGGTTCCCCAGAACAGTCACCAGTAACCGTCTGAACTGACCTCTCGACTTGGAGTTCCCATACGACCCCGCCGATCTCTACAAAAGCACTGCACTGGTTGGACCTTTGTGTGAAGGCCCCCTGATGAGACTAAGACAACTACATTACTGAGAGTAGAACCTGTCTGCAGCAGTCTACTAATCCCTGACTTACAAACTTACCCCCATCAAGTTGATGCAGCTTCACAGCGACCCTATGGAGCAGAGAGAACTGCCTCCCGTGAGTTTGAGATTGTAACTCTTTACAGGAGTAGAAAGCGGTCTGTCTTCTGGAAAGCAGCTGGTGGTCTCAAACTGTTGACCTTGCAGATCGCAGCCCAACATGTAACCACTACGCCACCAAATGCTTCAACACATTGTGTTTGGAATAAATCCGTGCCAGTATGAACTAGAACCCTAGTAGCAGTACTTTTTACTTCTCCTTGTATTTTATCAGTAAACTACTAAATCACCTTAAGAGTTTAGCAGAGTTATTTTTAATGGGATGGGTGAGGGAATCTTTTTGTGTTTATCAAGGGCATTGTGATCAATTTGATTAAGCAATAGAAAAGGGAAACTGAAGGGTATTTCATACGTACTCTTAATTTCATTTTCTGCAGGCATGGGGAAAAAGTCAGCCTCAGCTCTAAGTGTGCAGAAATCGACCGCGAGATGATAAGTTCACTTGGGGTTTCCAAGTCTGTGCTAAATAATGTCATCTTCTGTCACCAAGAAGACTCTAACTGGCCTTTAAGTGAAGGAAAGGCTCTGAAGCAAAAGTTTGATGAGATTTTTTCAGCAACAAGGTTGGTTTAGACTTTGTTGCGTATTAAGTATTGAACATGTTTGCAATTTGCATGTTTCTTTTTTAAAATAGAAAAGTTTAAAACAAAATTGTTATCAATTGTAACCTCTAACCTGGTGGCAAGCATTGACTATATTCCTGTACATATGCTTCTTAACCTGTTAGGCAGTATAGGTGTACCTTTTTCACTTATCTTTATGTCATAAGCAATTTCTAAGTTAGTAAAACTTTGTAAATATGTCTTAACGACTGCATAATATTCCACTATAATGAATATCATAATTAGCCTAATTTTTATTTTTATTTAATATCTTCAAAGGTATATTAAAGCCTTGGATACACTTCGGCAGGTACGTCAGACACAAGGTCATAAAGTAAAAGAATGCCAAACAGAATTAAAATATCTGAAGCAAAATAAAGAAAAAGTGTGTGAAATTCGAGATCAGATTACTAGCAAGGAAGCCCAGTTAACATCTTCAAGGGAAATCATCAAATCCTATGAGAACGAACTGAATCCACTGAAGGTAATTTGATTTTTTTTTAAAATTTGGATTTCTTTTATGTTAAAACTAGGAATTAGCTTTAAAGATAAGGAAATAGGTAGTATAAGAATCCAAATTTTTACTAAGGTGGTAAAATTCAAACAGTAAACAAGATTTATACAAGATCTTTGCCTTCCAGAAAGTTGCCTTTCACCCTAAAGCACTTTTTTTCATATGAATTTGAATAACATTGTAATTCTTCAAAAATTACTGGAGACTACATGATGTTATAATTTCCTAATGTCTTGTTAAATATCAGTATAGTGACTGAACCAAAGGAGAGTGTGTGTGTGTGTGTGTGTGTGTGTGTGTGTGTGTGTGTGTGAAAGAGAGAGAGAGAGAGAGCTCTAGGGAATTTTTACAATTCGCAGAATGTTGCACAGAACTTGGAATTTATATTTTAATGTATTTGAAAATGAAATAAGTTTAGTGGCTCATCAGTAAGGCTTAAAAGAAATTCTGTTCAGTTATTTTATTTTAAGTGGTTCTTGCATGACAGCATTCTTGACCTACATTTTTTATAGTTTCAATAAATAAGCACATTGCTGGAAACCCAGTGTACCTCAAGATAGAAACAATTTTTTGATCATTTTAAAAAATGTTGATTTGGTTTTTTAAAACTCATTTGTCAATACTGGTATAGATCTTTGAGTTATAACTTTATAAACTTTATTTTTGTGTCAATGCTCATAGAGAACAAGATTTGTAGTGTTGAACAGCTGTGCAGAAGCATGGAAACTTTTTAGGAAAAGGTAAATTGAATAGCTACATAAATTATCTGGGTTCACTAGAAGCTAACATAAAATGAGAGTAGCAAAAATGATAAAAAATATAAATTGCACTTGATCAATACATTTGTATTGGAAACTATATCAGCAAGAAAGTAAAGAGACAACCCCCAGAATGGGAGAAGTTATTACAAAATCCGTACCTGATAGAGGACTTGTATCTGGAATATGTAAAGAACCTCCTATAGCTCAATAACAATAACAACCTCCCACACACAAAATTAAAAATAAACAGAAGCTTCAAACATATTACTCAAATAGAAAGTAAGCACATGAAAAGATGCTAAACTATCCATAGCCACTAAGAAAATACAAATTAAAACCATTGTGAGAGTCTGTTGAACTGTTGCCACATTGGAGAGATGTAAGTGCCCTGTAGGACAGAGAGCTACCCCAGAAGGGTTCCAAGGCTATGATCCTCACAGCAGCAGACTGTCACTGCTGTGTCCCGCTTAGCAGCTGTGCACTTACCCAGCGTGCCACGAGGGCTCCTTGAAATACTACTACATGGCTACTCTTCAAAGCTCAAACGAGCAGTACCGAGTGACAACGAGTATCCATAGTGACCAGGACACTAGTGGTGAAAGGTATTTTGGCAGCTTTTTATTTTCAAAGTTAAGTAGAAACTCTATCTCTAGGGAGTTATCTGAAGAAAGTTAAAAATATGTCCACATAAAAGCTTTGAAATATCCCGAAGCTGGATCCAACCTAATGTTCATCAACTGGGAGATGGATAAACACATTTCACTGTACGCTGGCATACACTGTAATACTTCCCACTAAAAAAAAGTGATCTCACATATAACAATATAGATGAATTTAAGAGCATTTTGACAAGATAGATACAAAAGGGTACATATTGTATGATTCTGTTTACATGACATTCTGGAAAAGGCAAAACTATGATGTCAACCAGATCAGAGTGTTCAGGGTGGGAACAGAAAAGAGAGTCGAGCGAACTTGTTATGGGTGATTGAAATGTTCTATATTTTGACCATAGTAGTAGTTATGCTACTGTATGTATTTTCCCTCATTTATCAAACTGTATACTTTTTAAAAGGTGAATTTTACTGTGACTATACTAAAAAACTTAAGATTTTAAAAAAGCCCAGGAACAAGGGAGGCCTGGACTCAAATTCTGGCTTTCTCCCCTACTTTAGTATCAATGGGCTTGAGCCTCAATTTAATAATTGCCTCTAAAACTTCATAAGGTTGTATCATTTTTCAACCAGGTATTTTAAAGCACTTTGATCAGTTTCTGGCCTACAGTAAGCACCGGATGAATGGGACCATTCACAACACTTGTGGAAAAAAATTCTGTGCTCATAAAAATAACTTCCGAGCAGAGTCTTACCAGAGAACTGGACTGACAAGAGCACTGAATATTAATGCTTCTGCTGTTGTACTCCACAGACGTCTCAGCGCCTGCGTGTCTTCTCTCTCTTCATGACACTGACGTAATTCTCACATGGTGGCATCATGTCCTGCTTCATTTCTTCAAATCCAGCCAGTCTTTAGGGTTCCTTCTCTGACATCTTCTGTTTAATCTCTGTCCCAATAGCATAAAACAAAGCTGCTATCCCAGGACACACAACTTAGTAGACAGAGTTAAGTATGCAGACTACAAAAAATGCAATGAAATGTTTATAATGGTGGGCTCTCATGTGAAATGAGAACAAAGAAGGGGTAAGTGGAGCTGTCAACTACATGTACTTAAGTGTAGAAAAGGAAATAAGCAAGAGGTCCAGAGGGTGTTTTTGAACTTGGAAACAACTTCTAAAGGAATTCCCACTTAAAACAAGAATGGAAAACAGAACTCAGTAGCACAGGTCAGAGGACAGGATGTAGTCATTGTCATTAGCAGCCATTGAGTCAGCTCCAAGTTCTGGGCATGCTCTGTACATCATGAAATGTCACCCAGTCCTGTGCCATCTTATGGTCTTTAGTATGTTTGCATCTATTGTTGCAGTGTTTTGTATAGTGCCTTTCAACATAGGGTGCACCGTCCAGCACCATAATGGACATTATTTTGTTTTTATCCATATTGTTTTCATTGGCTGATTTTCAGAAATAGATTGTCAGCATGATTGTTTCTCAGTTTGGAAACTACTGAGACCTGCCCGTTATGGTTAACCCAGCTGACATTTGAAAGCTGGTGACTTAGCTTCCAGCTTCAGAACCACATGCAAGCCCCTATTGTGTAACCAATAGATACATGGTAATAGGAGATGGGATGAAGGAGGTAAGATATGCTGTGAAAGAAAATTCTTGAAATTGCAAAACGGGCAAGTTTACATTGTAGCACAGCTGCAAGCTGCTGAAAGCGGTATGTTAAAGCCTGCTTACAGCAGCCCTTTTTGGCAAGGTGATTTGGGGTCTTGATTTCTGTAAAGGGAAGAATCTTTCAGAGCTGTAACAGACGTTGGAGATGATCCACGTAGCAAATGTTTATTGAGCTACCTGCTTTGTGCCATGCAGTGTCTATCTAGGCTCCAAGGATACCAAGAATAAGATTACCATAAGTCCTGTGTAACTGGTCCCAGTTAAATAACAAGCATGTGAACCTTTGAGTTGTCACAGCCTTGGTTGGAATCCTGGCATCACTCAATCAATACTAGATATTATAACTTAGCCCAACTTAAGTTCTTTTTCATACTCATTTCAACTATATGAATTTTATTCATAATATTCAAAGACAGTTTATATTTTGTTATCCATAATTGCCTATCCATTCATGACCAACAAAATCATACCCTACATTCAGTCCATGTAAAATGATTCTGGCTTCCCCAGGCAGTAATTCCGTCCCCTTCGTACCACCTACAGCATTTGTCGTTTCCTGCCGTATCTTTATGCATGCCTGTCTTCTCTCCAGCCAGGCTGCTTTGCAAGAAAAGAAAGTGTGTCCTCAAATGTGCCTGAGTAACAACCACAATACCTACACACAGTAATCAGGACAACTCACCCTAAAGCATAACATACTCTGCCAGCTCTTACTTGTTGAACTGAGCTCTGAACATAGGGCTCTGTAATCTAACCGCAGGCTCTTCCACACACAGTTCTGTTCTGGTTAACTTGTATGAGTGATTACATGAGCATGGATATTTGTGTGTGTATGTATGTATTATATATGTACCCCGCTCCACTGACCCCCACAAAGAC